GTATGAATATAATATACAAGTTTCACTTTTTAAATGGAATTACTGAAATAAATCTACTTTTTCATGATATTCTAATTTTATGACCAGCACCTGTATGCCTCAAAATTTGTCCTGAACCATAATATATAAACTAAATATATATTATATTATTAAACTATTACCAAATAATTAGTTGGTATTAAATTGTGTAATACAGTTCAGTCATCAGTCTAAACATGAAAACCAAACTAAATAAACATGATGATGTCTAAAGTATCATGCGTGACCTTTGACCTCTCACCTGATAACCTGTTCTTTGCTGATGGAGAATTCTTCCAGTGTTGAGCTGTTCTCCTCTTCACCATCATCATCATCATCATCGTCTTCCTTTTCTTCCTGCTCTGTGAAGCAGCTGAGGAACTCCTCTAACGTCACGGCGTCGTCTCTGTCCCGGTCCAGGTGGGTGAAGAGGTCCTCAGCTTCTCGGGGCGCCACCTGGAGAACCTGGCAGATCGCAGAGAATTCGTTCTTTTCAATCCGCCCTGAGTTGTCCGCGTCGTAGGCGTGAAAGAGTGAGCTCAGGTGGTTTCGCTTCTCTTCCCGCTTCTGTTGTGACGACGCCATGGTTTTCATTTGAATTGTCTCAAGGAAAATGTCACAGTTGGCAGATTTACATTTCTTCAAGACATGAAAAAAACTCCAGTTTTTAAGGGAAAAGACTGTTGCTCTAGAATCAAGCTCAGTCCTTGTGCTGCTTCTCTTTTTATATCCTCTCTCATGCTCTGTCTTTTCTCTCTCTCCCCCTGCACAGACAGCTTGAATAAAGCCATTTTAAGGCTCATTATGAATGCTGATAAAACCATGACAGAAATCAAAGCAGAAAAACATAAAAGAGAAAAGCGCTTTGTTAAAATGGGCTCTGGGTGCATTTAATGAAATTACTTTTTGTTCAAAAAACATCTCAGGTCACTTTAGATCAAATATTCAATGTAAACGCAGACAACTGAGGTTTAACTTAAAAAAACTAAAGACATACAGAACACCTGGTCCATATATTCACTCTGTAAATTCAGATAAAATGCCTTTCTATGCAAGGTTATATGTGTCCTCTACTGTAGCGTTTAATGACATGTTTGAATAACTTAATGTTTTTAGGTATTTCGGACAGGTGGGCACAGAGGATGGGAAATCAAGAATTCAACGCAAAAAAGGTAAAAGAACAAAATGTTTTAGTTCATGCTTTTATGCAACAGAGTTTTGAACCCTGACAGATTAATGACATTAGATACGTTTGCTATTTTTATTTGCAGAGTCCCTCTTCCTTTTCCAGCATATAATTTACTTTCTTCACACCACTGGCAGATGATGTCAGTGTTTTCTAAAAAGTCTTTTCATACAGTTAGTTTTTGGTTTGATGTCTGCAACGTGGCTCCTTTCAGTCTAACAGTTTTTACCCTGAAGTCATCATCAGAAGGCGGAGCCTCAAAGTTTTGTAACAGTTTTATCTTCAGTTTATCTTATCACAGAGTTTCAGTCACATCAACACATGTTTGTCAACATGTGTGTTTGACATGTATTATTAATAATAAACTTTATTTATATAACACCTTCCAACAATGCCTTGCATCGACCAAAGTGCTTCACAAGGTAAAACAAATACAATCAAGACATAAAAACATCAGTACTAGTTAAAAATACAAATTACAATAAAAGAAAGTAAAAACGATATATAAGATGCTAAAAATTAAACACCAAATGCCTTTTTGAATAAGTAGGTCTTAAGTTGGGCTTTGAACAGGACCAGGTCAGAGAGGGTACGCAACTCAAAGGGAAGACTATTCCACGTGATTGGGCCAGCAACAGAAAAGGACCGGTCCCCCCAATTCTTGCTCTTAGAGCGAGGCGCCTCGATACGGTGGCCTGGAGGTGCAAAACAACATTACAAAATCTGAAACACTTTTACAAGTTCTGAAACAAATTTACATTGTTGAAAACACTTTTACATTTTAGAAAACACTTTTACAAGTTCTGAAACAAATTTACATTTTTGAAAACACTTTTACAAGTTCTGAAACAAATTTACATGTTAGAAAACAACCGGAAAGGGAGGGGCCGTAACACTGAAGCTGACCCAGAAGTGATCACGGGACCGCTCAAACTGACCCAAGATGGATGGGAATCGAGTGGCATTTTGTCCYTTTTGTGGAACACATTTAAGTGCCCTGTCGCGGTTTTGTTATTCCTGTGGTCGGTCTTTAGAATTTTTAAATCYCACGGAGGACACCACTGAAGGACCAGAGGCACAGGGGACATCTCAACATCCGAAAGATTCTAAACAAGGTAAGTGCATCATAACTATCGCTAGTATGTGAAGTAGCCATATGTGAGTGAAAGTGAACTTTCACTCACATATGTAAGGAGTAGAAAATACAGAGACCTGTGTAAAAATGTTGGAAGTAGAAGTAAGAATACGCTGAAAAATAATTACTCAAGTAATGTACAGATAACCAATATTTCTACTATAGTACATGAAGCTGAAGTTAGCTTCCAATTCCAGCTTCCGATTCGGGAAATGACTAAAGGGATATTACAATTAATTTTTCACTCCCTTGCACGTGTTTAACCTCCTGTGTGTGTGTGTGTGTGTGTGTGTGTGTGTGTGTGTGTGTGTGTGTTTGTGTGTGTGTGTGTGTTTGTGTGTGTGTGTGTGTGTGTGTGTGTGTGTCACACT